GAGGACGGGGAGCTGGGGACCCTGTTATAACCGAGGACGGGGAGCTGGGGACCCTGTTATAACCGAGGACGTGGAGCTGGGGACCCTGTTATAACCGAGGACGGGGAGCTGGAGACCCTGTTATAACCGAGGACGGGGAGCTGGGGACCCTGTTATATCAGAGGTTGGGGAGCTGGGGACCCTGTTATAACCGAGGATGGGGAGCTGGGGACCCTGTTATAACCGAGGACGGGGAGCTGGGGACCCTGTTATATCAGAGGACGGGGAGTTGGAGACCCTGTTATAACTGAGGACTGAGGACAGGGAGTTGGGGGCCCTGTTATAACCAAGGACGGGGAGCTGGGGACCCTGTTATAACCAAGGACGGGGAGCTGGGGACCCTGTTATAACAGAGGACAGGGAGTTGGGGACCCTGTTATAACCGAGGACGGGGAGCTGGGGACCCTGTTATATCAGAGGACAGGGAGCTGGGGTCTCTGTTATACCTGAGAACGGGGACTTGTGCCTTCCGAGGTGCTGGGGACTGTCGGCCATTAGAAGCCCTCCCTCGTCTGCTGACTCAGTGCTCCAGACTGTGCGTCTACCTCCCTCCCCTGACAACAGGGTCCGGGTCTGCCGTCAGTGTGTTGTGTTGTTGGTGGGCTGGGACCACGCTTCTCAGAGAGTCCCGTCCTTACACGTTGAGTACACAGGTTTTCCTCGGGCCTGGAGATTCCAGGGCCCTCCCAGCTGTGACCCACCCTGCAGACAGGCAGCACCCCCATGTTCGTGCACGTGAGGCCAAGGCCCGGGTGGCAGAGTGGGATCTGAGTGACATCACTGCTCTGCATGTGGACCGCCCAGAGCATTCTGGCTCAGTCTGTAGGCTCAGCTCCTCCAAGGCTGTTCTCACGCTGGGACGTTCGCAGCTAGAGCAGCTGTGCCCTGTGCACGGGGACAGAAGGTCCTCCCAGCTCAGTGGTGTTGGGCAGGCGGGCCGTAAGTTCACCTCCCAGGGGAGATCTGGACCTTCTTGGAGATACCTACAGATGTCCGCTGCCCTCACACCTCAGCTCAGGTGCCCTATGGCTGGTCAGTGACAGGTGCTCTGGGGCTTCACTGCGCAGACACACTTGAGGTGAAGAAGGTTCTGGAAGGCCCTCCGCTGGCCATACACTGATGGCTGCTGGTGGTACCTGCTTGTCAGTGTCCTTGTTCCCTCTGGGATTGTCAGTTCACCTTTAACATTGAAGAGGCCTCGTTCTGGAGCGGGAGCCTGAATCAAGCTCTGCTCAGGTGGAAGTGGGGTATCTCATCGCCGGCATCTTGACAGTTGGCAGATGATAACACGGAGCCCACGCCATCCCCTCTGTGGTGGGATCCTGTCCCTGCTGGCATGCCCCCTGTAGAATCTTCGTATTCAGTCGGAGAGGTTTGAGGAGGAGAGAGGGGCCTGGTGTGTTGCCCCACAGCCCTCCTCCTCCATTGTCCAAATTGTTCTCCCGGAGTGCTGAGGCTGCTCGGGGTGTGGTGTGGGTGCCAAGCTTGGGGCTCTTGCGGGGCAGGGAGCTTGGAGGGGCTCCGAACACAACTCCACTGCTGCCGGTTTTTCTGGAGGGCACTGGGCCAGCGCCGGCCCCAAGCCCTTCTGCCTTGGCAGCCCGGGGCCTTAGCGTGTTGTGAGCATGGTTTGTGGGGGCCTTAGAGGAGCAGTGACCTCACAGCCTGCTGGTCGCAGCTGCTGGAAGTGGGGGACAGGCAGCGTATTGGCTCTGGTGGTTTTTGTGGGTCCTGTTTCCTGGCATTGGGTTTTTACTGTAGATTTCAGGTTTTAACAGCATTTGATGGACCCTGGAAGTTGGGGCTTGTCATCGAGTGACCCGAGGGCCTTCAGGTCTCTCCTGCAGGTCCTAGTTTTGGGTCCTGGATATTCCGAGGCCTCTTGGCAGGGGCACTGGACCTAGGTCTGCATCACTGTCTGTGTGGGGGTCTGGGCTGCTGTCAGCACTCAGCTTGGGGTGGGTGAGTAGACTGGTGGAGCTGCTTCAGATGGGAGGGGCATTCGGCCATCCCTGGGCCTCCCTCCCCTGGGCCCCGTCCCTGGGCTGGGCTGGAGGAGCTCTGCCCCCCCTTGGTCTCTCTTACTGTGTGCTGGTTGTGTTCACAGCACTGCCCCTCGGCCGGGAAGGCTTTAGGTAGCTGTGTTCCAGGAACCAAGGTCCCCCGGTACTCAGTGATGGGGGAGTGGACGGGTGGGCACGACAGCGGTCACACCCCACCTGTAGAAGGCATCTACAGGCTGCTCGTGTAAACTAGAAGGACGAGAGGTCTGAGTAACACCGTTTGGGGAGTGCATCCTGACTCGTGTTTGGTCCTCTGCAGAAAGCTCCAGCGAAGCCGTGCCCTTGCAGCGGTCCCAGTCTCTGCCACACTCCTCCACTGGGGCGCTGAGTGGTGGGGCGACTGACCACAGTGCCCTCAGCTGCTCGGCTCTGACCGAGAGGGAGGCCTCCCGGCTTGACAAGTTCCAGCAGCTGCTCGCCGGCCCCAACACAGACCTTGGTGAGTTCCTTTTTGTAGCTGAGGATTCTGGGAGACTCCTGTCCCATGTGAGCACTTTCCTTCATCCCCATGGCAGCATCCTGCCTGCCCTATACTGGTCTCGGGACACTTTACCTGCTGTGGGCTCAGGCGTCCGTGGAGAGTGACCCACCGTGATGTTGCGCAGGGCCTGGTCCTGTGTGGACGGTCAGGCGCTGCCCCATGATGCTTCTGTCTGTGTGCGCCCTGGCCCCACGCTGAGGGGAGACCTGTGTTCAGTCACCACAGCTGACACCCGAGTCTGGTCTCCGAAGCCCTTTCTGTACTGGGCGTCTGCTGGGTGTAGAGTGGGATGGGGGGATGAGGAGGGACTGGGCCTGAGCCAGCCAGCAGGACAGCTCAGCTGGGTGGGGATGCGCCTCTTGGCCAGCAGGGGGCGGATGGGGCACACACATGGCCTGGGTCAGTCCAGGACGTCTGGAGACTACTGCTGCTGTTGCTGGTGGTAGAGGAGAAGGGCCCCTAGTGTCTCCTAGGCTGTCATCGTTATAGCAGTAGGTCCCCGGGGCCCGTGCAGTGTGAGAGCTCTGACCCTGAGGGCTTGGATGAGGTCCCATGCTGGGGATGGCAGGGGACAGCTCTTGAATGGGGATTTTAATGGTTTGAATGAATAACATCGTGTTCATGTTAAAAACGTTGAAAGCATGACAAGGTGGATGGTGGAAAAGGGGTCGTCTCCCCTGCTATCCCCCTCACGGTTCCAGGGAGCTGTGCACCTTGTGTTCTGAGGTAATTTCCTGTTTGTGGAAAGGCTGCCCCTCTGCCATTCTCCACGGGGGTGTACATGTGTGAGTGGACATTGTCTGTCGGAAGCACCGTAGGGTTTGATGGGGTGTCCGTAGCCTTTCAGCCGTTAAGACTTGGCTGTGGTTCCAAACAGTGAGCCCTTCTTTTCTGTGATCACTGTTGTCACTTGGTTCTGTTGAATTGGTTCTGACTCATCGCAGCCCGAGGTCCAGCAGAACAGAACACCGCCCAGTCCTGTACTGTCCTCACTGTTGTTGCCACTCTGCGAATCCATCTTCTTTTGGGAGGTCGTCCTCTTTTTGGTTGACCCTCCACTTTACCAAGCATGATGTCTTCCAGGGACTGATCCTTCCTGGTAATATGTCTGAAGTTTGAGAGACGAGGGTATGTGGTGGCTCTCTGTGATAAGCACTGGACTGTCAACCACAAGGTCGGCGGTTTGAGCCCATCACCCACTCTAAGGGAGAAAGCGACGCTTTCCGCTCCTGTGAAGAAAAGCCCATGAAACCCTTTACAAGGTCACTATGAGTCAGAACTGACTTAACAACACGAGAAACCGAGTCTCGCCATCCTGACTTCGAAGGAGCTTTCTGGGTGTACTTCCGCCAACTTCCAACACAGATTTCTTTGTTCTCCTGGTAGTCCTTGGTACTTTTAATATTTTCTTCCAACATCATAATTCAAATGCGTCTTTCTTCTATGATCTACCTTATTCATTGTTGAATTTTTACATGCATATGAGATGGAACTGTAAGGTCAGCAGTTCGAAACTACCAGCTGTTACGTGGGAGAAAGATGAGGCTTTCTGTTCCCATAAAGATTTACAGCCTCGGAAACCCTGTGCAGGGTCGCTATGAGTCGGAACCGACTCCACGGCACATAACCACCACCACCACAACAACCACCACAACATGAGATGATGGAAAATACCATGGCTGTGTCAGGTGAACCTTAGTTCACCTTGAACCATGTCACGTGCAGCAGATTTGTCTAAGGCAGTGGGTCATTTGATTTCTTGACAGCTGCTTCTATGAGCGTTGATCGTGGATCCAAGCAAAATGAAGTCTTTGACAATCTCGATCTTTTCTCCATTTATCAGGATGTGATTTATTGATCTGGATGTGAGGATTTTTTTTTTTCCTTTGTATTGAGGTGCAATCTGTGTAGGCTGTGCTCTTTGATTTTCATCAGTATGTTAAGTCGTCTTCACTTTCAGCAAGCAGGGTTGTATCATCTGCATATCTCAGGTTGTTAATGAGCCTTCCTCCAGTGCTGATGCCATGTTCATCTTCTTATCACCCAGCTGCTTGGATTGCTATGTTGGGGCGCATTGCTTCTAGCCCCTCGGCCTGAAGGACTCCTCTTCTGGCACTGTCAGACAGTGTTCGCTGCTATTCCGAAGGGCTTCAGGGGCTGCCTTTCAGAAGAGCCCCTTCACTCCTTCTTCCTAGTCTGTCTTCGTCTGGAAGCTCATCTGAAACCTGTCCACCCTGGGTGACCCTGCTGGTATTTAAAATACCAGCGGCATAGCTTTCAGAATCACAGCAACATGCCAGCCATCACCGTATGACAAGCTGACAGGTGTGTCATCAGAATCAGGAGGTTTACCACAAATACAACTCTGTGACTGGACCCTCAGCCCATAGTCACTGGTTTGCCAGTCGTTCCCAAATTCTCTGTTACGTGTTTACCCTTAGTTCGGGGACCTGTGCAGGGCGGCATGCTGCTTGTGGTTGTCGGCACGCTTGGTGTCCTCTCAGTGGGCTGAGCTGCGCAGCCTTCCTCTGTGTCTCTTGATTGCGGTGCCTCTGAAGTGAGCAGCCCGGCTCGTCTGTGGAGCAGCCCTTGGTTCACTTTGTTTGAGGGCCTCATGATGATGAGACCCCAGCTGACCGTCCTGGCGGAGCGTCCCTGACGAGGGCTGTGAGCGTGGTATAATGCTGCTGTGTCCTGAGACGGACTGCGGGGTGAGGTCGTGTCTGCTTGGCTTCCTCTTTGTCTTGCTGTTGAGAAGTAACCCTTTGTCTCTGTCTGGTAGCTTGTGACCCCTGCATACGCACCATGTTCCCATTCTCCATGTGACTGCTGACTAGCACCGCACCATTCACACCTCATCTGTCAATGTGTAGTGTGTGTGTCTCCATCAGCACATGTCATCCGGCTCAGCTCTGTGCCACCTCACCAGCAGGGGGCGCACACCGCTTTCTCCTAATTCCCTGTTGTTTCCAACAGTTGGAGAGCCGCCATCCTGCTGACTGAGGTGGGGACTTTCACTGCCTGGCCCAGACCCAGCCAGGGTGAGGGAAGCGTGGTAATGCTCCCGTGGCTTGTTTTGAGCACCTGGTGGTGTGCTCGTTAATAGGTGCTACTATGTCAGTCCATCAAGAAGCTTTGGTAGCGTAGTGGTTATGAGTCGGGCTGCCAACCTCAAGGTCAGCAGTTCAAAACTACCAGCTGTTCCATGGGAGAAAGATGAGGCGTTCTGCTCCCGTAAAGATTTACAGGGTCACTATGAGTCAGAACCGAGTCCATGGTACTTAACAACAACAACATGGGGGAGGGGGAACTGCTCTCTTTTGTGCTGACCCTCCACTTTACCAAGTGTGATGTCCTTCTCCAAGGATTGGTCTCTCCTGATGACCTGTCCAAGGTACGAGAGGCCAGGTCACCCCACCCTCACAGGGACAGAGCGTTGTGGC